TGTGAGTAGAGACTATCAAAACCGGAAAAGTTCAACGTTCACGGCAGCGGGAAGGTGCAAATTAGGCCCAGGCTACCGATCTTCATTATTCTACTGGTAAACCACAAATATCTGCTTGATGCCGATTCTACGGTGCCTTGCTAAAATTAGGGATTAACTCAGACAAGTTGGAATCAGTGAAGATTTAGCCAAGCTACTTGGAAGCACCTAGCAGCCATTGACAATCCCCTATGCAACATGAGTAGATCACCTTTCTCTTATTAACTCAACAACTACTTACTTTCGTAATGTATTTACCATGTATTTCAATGATAAGGTCTCTGAACTCTATCACAATTGCATATTTTACCTGGAAATAAACCCTTTGACGACAATGCGTATTTCGACGTGACGCGCCCATGGGACCACGCCCCCCTCCTTTCGCACGCGACCGGCACCCACCGTGGGGTGGCACTGTCCCAGGAGAAAATCCTTTCACTGGCTCACTGAATTCAGCAAAAGGTAAGAAACAAGAAAGTATGGTGCCTCCCAAAATTGGGTGCCAATGTCCCGTGTGCCAGTCATAGTGGCACCCACCGGTGGGTGCCATTGTCGTCAAAGGGTTAATCCATATTCATATATATTGTGTCATCATGTGAGATTTCTCAGAAGCGCTTTTTTATTATTTCAAGATGTAACCGTTCAGTACATAAATCAACTCTCTATCAAAGTTTCCACTTCAAATCATGTAATAACTGTGCTGATAAGCTCTAGAGAGCGATAAAATTAGACACGACATTGGCTTCTAAAAAGTTATGCTGGAGTTTGGACAGCAATAACAAAGAATTCCTGATCATGACAATCAATCTCTTCCTATATATAGTGAGGTCTTCTTAAATACTACTGAACACGTTCCAATGTTGATTAAAATTAACTAATAAAAGAACAGGTAAAGAAGCAGGTAGATAGGAGCGAGTCTCAGACATGTACTTACAGCAGGACAAAGAACCTACCATACCTTACCACTTATACAAGTAAATGAAACTTGATAAATCTATGCCTCACTGGTCAGCTTGACCTTAAAGTAAGATGTGAGTACATGCAAACGTACAATGTCATTCATTCATCGATTCCTTAAACGAATTTGTAAACACAGAAAAAGAACCAAGAGTAAAGTGTTAAAAAGAATCAGGAAAAAGGAAAACCACCACAGAAATGAAGGGAGGAACATCACAAACTAAATGACTAACTATAAATGTTTACCAGCAAAGGTTTCTGTGTTGAAATGAGAACACCAAGTAAACTAAATTCATCTCGTATATACAACTTTACATCTTATGTACAGGTAGAGAAGCCTTGGAAATAGAGGCGAGAGTGCTTCATGCCATATTCGAAAAGAGCGTGGTAAACATCTACTAGGAAACTGCACATCAGCAAAAGGAAGTCTCCTGCAATCATTTTCCAACTGAGCTGATAATGATTAAGAATCGTGCGCGAACAGGATCAAATATGAGATATTACGTTCGTTGTCGACGGAACAAATTCTATCCGATGTCGGCAGTACACGAGACATCAATTTGAAGCAACCTCCAAAACGGAGGTCGTCAAATGCGGCTGGTTCGCCTCTTAAACTCATATAACTGCTTCATACTGGGAAGCCAACACTTCTTGAATGATCCCATCAGGAAGCAGAAAATATTCAAGTTTCCAGTAAGAATCAGGAGTCTCGTTCGATACTTAATGTTTTAAGGCAATCGTTTTAAACGCTTTCGCTGTTAGAGCTTACGGTATCAATTGTTCACAAAATCTCCCTCGCTCAGTCAGGCATACTCAGATTACAGTACACATAGCAGAACGGTACGTCAAGGGGCTAGGGAACGCGAATAAGATGTTTTTCATAAGGAGGCAACTGGAACTCTTAACACAGGAAATATGCGAAAATGGGCTTGTAAAATCCAGGCACGCTACTTCGCAACAGTGAGGGAGGGAATCAGGTATTATCCCTTTCCTCTCGTTCAACCGCTACGAAAAGATTAGAGATCAAATAACTTATTTCAACACTTAGTGTGGCAATAAGAAGGGGAGAGCTAAAGGTGTCGCAGAGCTGCAGATACGCTGTATATTCAGCAACGCAATCAATCAGTGCAATTATTCATTCGGATCGCCAACTTACACCGAGCTTCCTGACACAAATCCAGAACGCTCAACAGATCCACCACAAGTCTGTTCAGAAAAAGGCATTTTTTGCCACAGCATTCCGAAAGAGGAACGCTCAGAATTGCGCCGGCACTACGATTTTCTCACAGGATAAATCACTATCGATGGATTGGCACTGAATAAATATATGCAACTGCAAATTGAATATATTGTGACGCTCATATAATAATTGCGAAGACTCGATCTACTTCTCTTATTTGAAGTCACAGTTTACAATTTTGGGGCATACGGCTTTCAACGATTAATGAAACTAACAGCCCAGATTGGTACACAGTTAATGAAGGAAGCGTGAAATGGCGCAGTTAGATGGATATCAGGCTTCAAAGGTTTCTAAAATTAGGGGTTAGACGAGAATGTGACCACAAAAGTTGCATGGAAGGGGTTCTTGGTGTCACATCGTACAGCTTATTGTAGTAAGCCAAAGACATTCAAAATTGTTTTCCACCCAGCTGATGATCCTGGCATGGGTGAATTTCGTTCTGCGTTACTCTCTTATTTACTGCTGCTCTAACAGAACAGGTCCGGAATAATGCTATCTGAAGAAGCAGCAGTGGAATGAGGGAAGCCTAGAATTCAATAACACAAGCTACGACGACCAGCTGACTGAGTTTTCACCAAAGTTGCTATAATGCGAGCACTGGTGCCCGGCAATCAGATTCATAGTCAGCTTAATGTCCTAATTCACATGATTCAATCCCTTGCAGCTTATCGTGCCCTATCCAGGGCGTTTTTCGACCTTACAACTACAGGTATCATACTATGAGGAAGCCTTAGAAAACCTTTTTACCGTGGACGGTGCCCTTCCTTGAGAAACGTAGCTACCTTGAAGCCATTAACAGTAAATATTAGGTATGCGTTATGCGGAAAGTACCGTCTGGAAGTTTCACAGTGGTCCTGATCCCTCTCGGGATATACTATGGATATACCGTGGTAGGACGTTACTCAGTTGTATACGCAACATGCCAGATTTTTCTTTATATCGCAGTTAATATTATAACTTTGTAACCCAACTATTGGCACAAGTTTCGATAGGTTCCAGCAGCGGGATTACCGGATTAACCTCTAATGAATTACTCGTCATGGGAGACGCTTCACCCATTCTAGGTTTGAATAAGTAACGAAGAGAAAGACGAACGTGTCGCGCTTATACGCGTGGGTAATGTTTTTACATAACAATTTCATCGAGGTCTACAGAAAGTTCCAGGACAAGCTTGGACTAATGCGAAATTTCTGCCAGACACTTTCGCTAAGCCTAATACTATTATATTTTTGTCGTCAGATCAGAACACCATCCGCCTTACCAAATATATTTCAACACATTGAAGTGTTAATTTTACAATGTCAGTACGAAAGACTTTGGATTCAAGTGTTACTTGCGTTCTGAGGTCTTATTATATTTATCCAGCTATTATTAAAGCCCGTCAACCATCACACAATGAAGTAGCAAAACTTCATTGCTTATACGAAAACGGGAGGTGATTGAGTTGATCCCGCACTCCGATTCCCATTGTCAGCCCTTATCAGGTATTATCAATCCTCTCATCAACCACCGACACATCCCTCTGAGAATAACAGGCTTCCCTGCTGCATGGCTCCTTCCCAGCCACCATCCATTGCTGTCATTCAGTGTCACCAATTATAAAAGTTTCAATACTGGCGTCTGTCACTCTTCGAATTTCGAACGTTTTACATCCAAGGGAAGAGTATTTTTTAATTTTCGGTGAACCATTCATATACCCTACTATATACAATTCGCTAAGGGTCTGTTGGTTTGTCGGTGTGTCTGTTTGACCGGAAATCTATAGCTCCTTTCCCAAGGATCTAGAGCGCTGCAATTTGGTGGGAGTGCAGGTGGCAGGATGGGCTCGACCACGAACTCATAACTCATATTTACGTGGACCTGGAACGTTCAAATTTGGTAGGAGTACAGGCAGCGGGATGGGAACAGTGATGTGTGTTAGGTGATAACAACTGAAAGGGCTGATAAAGAGCCTTAGAAGGCGAGAGCCGCAGGATCCGTTACACCCTTCAAGCCCTTCAAGTAAGCGGTGGAGTGTTGGCACTTTAGTAAGGATGTGGACTAGGAAGGGACCATAGATGTTCAGTGATAAGGAGTGATAGCAACTGTTAGAGACTAACGAGCCACATAAGCTGAGAGCCACGTCAAAAGGCTGTACAGCAGTCAATCAGAAATCCCCTCTGTAAAATAGTTCGCGTTGTAGAGATATCCCTGTGTAATATTCCTGCTGGAAAAATTTGAGGCTATGTCGATATTACTGGAATTGCCATGAATTTTGCTGTGGTGAAAAGCATGTGATTAGTTCCTTACCCTGATCAAGCATGGTAAGAGGGGCTTGTTTCAAGCGTAACTGGTGACATATAGGGAGCCTCACAGCTTCTTCAGACATTTGAAGAAGTTAAGTTCGCCGAAATGTCACTTTCATTAACTAATCCACCATAAAATAAACAGAACTGTTCGGCGCAGAAACAGAAAAAATGAAATTTACTCATTGTCAAATTGTCCTCGCAAGTTTTGGCCAATGACTACTGGGTTTCACCCGTGTTTAAAACTCTATTACGATGGGTAACAACCAACGACCAGCACACGTCAATGTAGGAAGTATTGCTAGAAAAAGCATAGTCATCTTATCATTCATTTGCGAACTCAATTCCCTTATGTATTTAAATTAAGGCTTCCATGCTGTGGCCCAAAACATTAGCATTACCAACTGTACCCCAAACGGAAACCAAATGTATGTCAAATACATTTTTTACCGATAAACTCTGATAGGAACACTTACCATCTACGACTGAGAGGCAGGAGATTGGCTCCCTCTGACAGGCCATGTACTAATTGGGATACCGCCTTCACATACAGAGAACTCGTCTTCCGAAGAATCAGTCGAATCTGAACTTATTTTATGGGATTCTCATGAGAATGTATCAATAACCTTTCCAGAAAACTGATTGACCTGTGTCCCTTCTTACACGCTTGCGTGGCCCCTCAATCTCGTCATCGGAAGAAGCACCCATTTCTTCAGGTTCATTAAGAGCGTCTCGAGAAGGAGAACCGGATTCTTCTTCTTGATTATTATCAGAAGCTCGTCTTTCATAACTGCTCCTCCGCATCATTCTCCAGCGACGGCGACGTTGGGCTGAACGAGAAAACATTATTCTGAAATACACTGTTAAGACCAATCAAAATTAAAAGATAAATTCGGTAAGGAAGCAGGTAACGGGAAATTGGTAATGGGTGGCAGGAAGTAATGACAACCGCACGTCCTTCATGGGAGCTCATTGACCAGATTCATCTCTATATCCGTGGAAATCAATCCAAATTTTAACGATGTACCTAGGTCTATATTCAAAGTCTTGAAGAAGCTGCACCTCTCCGCTGGTCAGAACCAAGAGTCACTAGATTTGTCACTTTACTCTCACCGTCGCTCTTTATTTTAGTACAGAAGCCCTGAATGCTACCCCAACTATCCAGAATCCCGCTACACCCCAATTTTATGTGGGCTGTAAGGGGATCCTAGATGGTTGGTGACCGAAACTGATGACGCCTGAAAAGAATTGGTAGGAATAGTCACAAGACGAAGGCCACTCGAAGGGTTGCGTTTTTCGTCGACAAAAGGGCTTTGACACTATAGTGCATTATCCGAATAAGGCAGGACCATACAGGGCAACGTAAGAAGTGATAACAGACGGTGAAACCTCTTTAACCCAACCGCTTTTCCTCAATTGTTGCTCTTCTTTGCACATTTTTTCCACAACTGTGCTCCGGTAACATGCCCTATGCATCACTCACTTTGAACCTGGTCAACTTTCCCAGCAATTCTCTAACCGACCGCTTTCTGGTGGTTCTGCTAAATATAGATTCGCCAAGTCTAGCTGCCGAATCTGGGCAGTGTGCGTGTGTTTCAGTAATTTGCGTTGAGATTTGATACAGGTACAGGAGGCAGGATGAGATCACTGTCGATCGATGGCAGGAGTGAACTCCGCTAGAGAGTCTACTCCTGCCAGGATGAATTAGGACAGGACACGGACGGTTGGTTAGGAAACATTGAAATGAAATGCAAAGTTTTGTGACTGAGCCGTGCTCCTCATCTGGGATAGAAAGGATGGAGTGGTGGAGAAGGTTGAGAGATCGTCCAAGTTAGAGCGGCGGGCTTCAGAGTGGGAAGAGCTAGGACTGAAAAACTGCGCTTCTGCTCGGAAACGTTCCATAGATACAACTTGTTTTGACTTGATGTTTTGTTAACTGCTGTTATGTCGTCGCAGTACGCGATGCGAAGTCCCCAAGGATGGTGATTCATGAACAAAACTTCAGTCTCGGACGGGACTCGAACCCGTACTGTGCTTTCCAGGCACCGTGCTCTATCCCTTTCATCTTCCATCCGTGTTTCATAGATAATAATTAGCATGGGTGAAGAAGACCAAGCAGGTGAGAAGACCTTGAATGGGGCAGAATTGACTTCAAAATCGACTATCTATGCGAAAGTTCCTAGATGATGTATGCTCAGCCAATCCACAACTTTGCACCTTAAGGGGCATATGCTGCTGGGACGTTGGCCGATGCACCAATTTATATATCAACCAGTTGGGCTGTGCACGCTAACGCGCGCATCATATCCTACTTTATACAATTCGCTAATCTGTGTGTTTGTGTGTTGTGAATGGGAACACTTATGGAGGGTAGCAGGATTAGACTCCGACTACAGGGAGGAGGGTTTCCGCGAACTAAATGTTTGAGTGGAAATCAATAACTCCTGATCCCGTGGACTTGGAGAGCAAAATCAATAGGAGGAGGCAGGATGGAAACACAATAGAAGAGGCCTTGGAGAAGAAGATCCACACACCAATTGAATCCTCGCGCCTTTGTTATTTACGATCTAGCTTTGACTTTTTGATATGTTTCGTTCGAAAAGGGTAAGCAGTGTGATTATAAGGAGACGAATTTGCTTCACTTCTTGCTATTAGATTACGACCGCTACCCAGCAAAGTTTGCGACTCAGTGAAAGACACGGTTTCTTTTGCTTTGATATCATTCTTAGCAAAATTTATCCGACCGCTAATAATGTTGGATTCTCATTTAATAATGTATCCGTAGAGAAAAGGAGCTACATTTATAAAGTTATTTGATAATGGTATTATTAAAACTCGACAACATTTGTGAGTTCCATTCAAGGCTTTAGCTGTTTACCAGTTGAACCTTCAATGGGTTATTTCTTAGATGAAAAGCGACAGATCGAGATTTCTACTAAAAGGCCTAAGCATCGACACAATTCGGATATCGTTTGCGTGCCCTTCCACCATTGGTTCTCGACTGAAACTGTAAAACCAATATAGATTCTCTACAGAATTTAGTGTTCCGAGAAATATCATTCGTTCCAAATAAGGAGGAATCGATTTGCCGATTACTACAACCCTATCATAAGGAGGAGGGAAGCCCGGCGTTAGCCGGATGGCCCGACTGATTAAATGTATTGATCATATTGATCTGGATACGCGTGCTGCGATTATGTAGTCAAAAGCAACGCTCGACATAGAAGAAGTTACTTTAATGATTGCTTCACAGAACTTTACTCCGAAAGGAGTAAAAAGGGCTCATTCTAGCTACACAATTGGATGTGCTCACTATCCTAATGAGCAGAATCTTTGAAAAAAGGCCTAGTCACTCTTTATATCTCAAGAAGCAGATTGCAAGAATAGGTGGATGTCATCAATGGAACTTTTTCTCTAAGGATCTCTAAACATCATTACTAGAGGCTCCCAGATTATTAGCTGTCGGATAAGTTTTGTAGTGAATAATAACAAAGCAAAGAGGAACCGTGATCACTCGTTGAGTCACAAACTTGCTGGGAAGCGGTCATTATAATAGCGATAAATGAACCAGACTTTCACCTTCCCCTAATGAAGAAGCTTTATTCGGTTTCTATAACTGCACTTACCACTAACTTTTTTTCACCCTACTTTACCATCCCTTCTTATGAAACAAATGAAACACACCAAAGAATCAAAACCACATACCTTTAGCATCGGATTAATTTCTGTGTCGGGGTACTATTTCGTTGGTGGGTCTTGCTTTCTGAGGCCACTTATCAGCTCTTATCAGTTGCTATCAGTTCGACCCCGTCACACCCAAATGTAACATAACACCTTCATAACATCTACCATAGGTGCTCCCATCCTGCCGCCTTCCTACTATCAATTTAAACGTTCTGAGTCCACGGCAACAGGAGTTATTATTTTTCGCTCAGGCACTTATTTCACGCAAACCCCGCCTCTTGTGGACGGGCTCCGGTTCTTCCACCTACCATAAGCGTTCCCATCTTGGCACCTGTGCTCCTACCGAACTTTAACGTTCTAGGTTCACGGGGACAGGAGTTATGAATTTCCGTGCAATTAGACAGACGGACAGAGACTCGATTGCTTTATATATAGTAAGGATCCTCTAGATAAATGACCACTTATTCACTTCGTTCCCTTTGGACGTACAGCGCTCAAATCACAAGGAAATTGAAGAGATTTTATGGGAGTACTGTTATATAACGAGCGATATGGGTGAACGGATACAGGCCAGTTTATGATAAAGAAATTGGAAGTTCCGCGAGGGACGAACTATGAAGTTGCTACAAGGAACGTAATCGGTCAGTCCTAATCCCTAAAATACCTAATAAAAGATATATATATATATATATATATATATACATATATATCTTTGACTAGGGTTTGATCGAAAGGCGAGGCGAGAAAAATTGTTTTGTGAAATTTTCAGAAAACGAAATTACTTCCCGAACGACTCAAGAATATAAGAGCATGAGAAACTTTTATAATGTTCTTCTGTAGTAATATTGTAGATAAGCGGTTGCTGACATGTGACCTTAGCATGTGTAGCCCAATTAAATTATATAAAGGAATCCTCTACGATTATGAGCCGTAAATAGCAAGTTCTAGCATAACCGGATCACTGTCATTTTCGGCAGTACTCAGAAAAAGAGGAAGCGAAAATGGGAAGGTGTGAAAAGGTAAAAAAGAACCTCTCATTGAACCTCTAGCTGAGTTTTCATCATCAGCCGATCCGTCTTCACCGAAGTCGCGTATATGCTCAAGGTCGTAGTCGTTTCCGTCGCTTGCACTACCTTCATCGGAAGTTTCCAGTCCCATCAAATGTGCTCGCAAACCTTCCAAATCGACATTCACTACTACATTGTCACCATCTGAAGCAATAAAGAAAATGAAATAGAAAGAAAAATGATGGAAGAATTTTATAAAGAGTAACTCATTCGTAGGGCGGATATAACTTTTGAGGTCAGATATGTATATTTTTGATAAAAAAGGATCTTAATGAACCTTGATTGGGCTGTTGCAGAAAGCTCGAAAGGCCATAGTCATAGTGTGCTAGGAGAAAAAGGGATTCTCAATGTTTCAATCGATCGTTCTGCTCTCCTAATCTTCATGAAAAAAATCCTCGCTCCCACAGCTCATCTGAAGGCCACAGCTAACAATGTTACAATTACATTTCGGTTTACAATGTCAAATTGCTCTTATCCATTAACCAATACCGACTCTTACTGCGACAGCCGACTTCAAGAACGCTTTCACCTTTCCCTGAGAATTTGAAAGTTTAAAATTGCGCCAACGCCGCATTTTTTCGTTCACTACAAATATTGTTAGGGGCGACATCGAGAGAGTTCAACACCATCCAACATTTCCATCAGTCATTACTCATCGCACGTCCACTCAGCGCGCAACGTTCTGTATTCATACATTCATACATACATACATACATACATACATACATACATACATACATACATACATACATACATACATTCTCTCATAGACATGCTAGATCTCACAAATATAGGAGCACACCAAATTTTTGCTGGTCTGAACAAAGTGCGCATTTTTGAAAACACGGCAATTCCACATGATGGGAAAGTTTGCTGCTATACTCTTATAGAAATTCTGCCACAAGCGACCTAGGCACTTTTTCAGGGACGAGCATTCAGTGTACTAGTGCATTAGCCCCACTCATGGGAACTTCCAGTTTCTGCCCGACATAGGAGGATAATTGCCGCGCCTAATCATACACAAGCTTGCTCGATATCGATTAACTAGGCCTCGCGCCACCGTCTCTCTTATCCAGAAGGGATCAAGTTGGAGCACTTTTCCAAGCGGGCTAGAGGGTAGAGGAGATTTGCCGCTCGTTTCAGATGGTGTCATAACTTCATAAGTAACCATGTATGAAATCCCATCCTGTACTAGAAAATAAGAGTGGTGTTCGGTGTAGCTGCTCCCGTTCCAAGAATATTAAGGCGTCTCCTGCGAGATTTTGCGTCTTAGCAAGGTCTGCATTAAGAAGTGGCCTTCTGTGAGCGAAACCATTGTGGAGAGCGTTACATAGCAGAGCTTATCACAAGAGAATCTATGATTTGCGTTTCAAGGTTGTCAAACCACCACAAGATTACACGCCTTCAACTAAGCTTCTGTTCCGGACAACCTTTTTTTCCTTTGCAATTTCGGCGGAAGATAACCCGAGATTTGGGACATCTCTTGCACGACTCAATGCTGGACACAGCTTATTTCTGTCATATGAATTTCTTATGTAGCGAAGAATACTTGAGAAATGACTCTACCACTTCTTGACCGAAACTTTCCCTTTCCCCCTCGCTCCCTGTCCTTTATGTGCGATACCACGGCTCCCTTGTTATGCTGCAAGAAAAAGTATCACAGAATTGAGGTTTGCCTGTTCTCCAGACTTGAATCCAATGTCCTCAGAAACTCTGAGCCTTCATTGCTAAGGAGGCAAAGCAGTATAAGATCGAGAAACTCAACTGCTCGCCTTATGCATTCGAATCACTTTAGATCCCAACGTTACAACTAGCTTAGTTACCATTAGTGGAAGATGAATAGTGGAAGATTACACCATTATTGGTAGACCAGTAAGATCGCTCGGCTAACGCCAGGCTCTCCTCCTTTTCGTGTGAATTCGGTCCATCGTCCATATCTTTTTCAAATTCGGACACTCAGGAACGCGAGAATAGAGGTATGAAGTCCCGACCAAACACACACAAAATCAATATCCTTCGTGAGCGCTCCTTCAATGCGAAGTCCAGCTCAACTCATGCGCATGCGGGTGAATTGAGTCATTCCCTTCTTTTCTTACCTTGAATGCGCAACTTTACTCACACTACAGGTCAGTTACTTTCTACGAAATGCCGTCAGTGTACTGATCCTACCTCGTCTACAACCAAACTTGAACGTCTCAGGTCTAAATTGACGACCCCCTTCCCTCGTGAAGCTGAGGTCACAAAAGAGCTAAAGAAACAGTGCTATGATTTCGGATAAGAAACAAGCACAATTATGGCCTGATCTCCTTATCTCTAGCGCTCATTGTTGAAAAAAAGCGGTCTTTCGACTACATTATTACCTCCGATTTTTGTACAGACATACATAGCACGATGTATCGAAATCACAGTTTTGAAGTACTCGCTTAACTCTACATTACTCACCTCACTCTGCACTACCCACTCTACTACATTAACCTACCCACCACCAGGCTACTGCTTTATATATAAGAAGGAAATGTGAGAGCCGGATTTTCCATATCATTGCCTTTATCGTAATCATAAAATTTTGCGGATGGACAGACCGACAAACTGACATGCCGACAAACACCCAAACCGCCAAACCGACACACCAAGTTACTGCTTTATAAATAAGTGAGATATCTAGCAACGAAGATATAATGATATTGGGAAACATTTCATTTCAGAAATTTACCTCCAGAGTGGTCTGTCAAGCTTCATCAGAGGTTATTTTTGTTACCTACCATTGGTGTCTCATACAACCTAATCCCTTCATTCACATGAACATGTGAAAAGTTCTATTTACCAACAACCTTTGTCGAAGATTCAATTCACTACTGTAATGTCCGGCATTTTCTATCTTTCGAACCACAAACAGAAATACTCACCTGCGTCCTCATTCGGATCATATGCTTGCATTCGAGATAACTGAAAAATGGAAACACACTAGATAGAAGAGTAGAGTCCATTCTATAATGATTCATGTGAATTCGGCAAATTACGATATCTTCGTCACATTTGGGTCAACTGCAACCTGCCATTTTGTCAATGGTTTCACCTTTTTTACATTGCGAAGAGTATCCATGTAGGGAAAAGGTTTTGAAGGCACAGTTCACGATATTTCCGGGCAATCCAGGTTAAGACGAGGAACGGAAGATAAGATGGAAAATAGTGCGATGAAGGCGAAGAAACTGCGTGAATCGGTATTTCCAAAGTGGAAAAACGGCAGTGAAAAGTGAAAAAATTTATTATGCATTATGGGTAGAAACTGTAGGCTGCTCTAGAGAGCGACGATATGGCCCAGGAAGAGTGGGTACATGGCACGGAGCCAACGTAGTGCAATCCCTATCTTCCCTTTCACGAGAAATTCCACAAAAACACTGATTTGTACCTAATTCGAAAGCAAGATGCATAGGTAATAACTGTCTATAAAGGCTTAGTTCACGATAATTTTTAGGTACCCCCTTTTTACGAAAAGCGGAAGAACTGGTTGGGAGTAGATCATCCATCGTGGAGAAAGTGAGAAAACCCGCCAAATTCGAGAGAAGGACCTTCAGAAGGGGTGTGTTGCGATTCACGCGTCAATACCATGAGATCATCTCGCGTGAAGGGCGAGCCTACGACGGCGCCGTCCGCGGGCAAGACACATGCTATAACATCATGCTGACCGCCACAATGGGAGAAATAAGAACTCATAAAAAATACGTTTAAAAGATAATCAACAAACACGCTTACAAAATAAAAGCGTCTATTAGGACCGAAACGTTTTAAAGTCACTCTTGTTTTGAACCTATGATAAGTAAATTGTTGACCTATGAAGACACTATTTCATGCTCGATGGTGAAACCATGGGCTAGTGTAAATCCCATTTGATCCATCTCAACTGAAGGGTACTGAAGCGATCGCATCGAAACGCGTACCTAATCTGCCGCGTGGTGCGTTGCGTGCTGCATGCGCGAAGAGCTCTGACGGGGTCACGCCTGAATCGCACGCTTCCCCTTCAAAAGTGGCGAAATTAGAGGTTGGACGAGATTACCATGATGGGAATAACAAGGAAGGGGTATTCGGACGAGATTTCAGTCATTGCTATTGCCCAAACGGCTGAGTACATCAAGCCATAATTATACAGAACTGCCTTCACTGCCGCTAGGGGCCTTACAAGTTGCTTGAGCCTTCTACATGGTTCCCTTGTGAAATGCGCTGCCTCTGCAACGCCGGTGAAAGTCGTCCGAGGATACACACGGTGCAATCTTTGAACCTTCATAATGCCCTAACTAGGCCGTTTCCTGACCTTACGAGGGGCGGGGCCTCGGATTCATCCTATGGAGAAATCTCAAAAACCACTTTTATAGTGAACTGCGCCTTTAATGCATATTAACTCACTCAACTTAACACGTTGACGACGAGCCAACTTTTTTTTGTGACTGTCGCGTGGGACGAGACGGTTTCTATCTTACTGAATTGTTAATTCTCAAAAGAAGGAGGGAATGCTGTCAAAAATATATGAAATGGTACGAGATGATAAATTTGAACCCGGGGTATATAAATAGGATCTCCGAGAGTAACATATTGCGAGTATCCTTGTCATCATGAGTGTCCCGGATATCGAGATCAAGGAGTTCAACGAGTATTGAAGACATGCTGCGCGATGAGCGATGGTGAATTTCAAGGTGGTTTGGGTGTTTGGTTGACGATACGGCTCCTGCGGTTGTTCCTGACAATGATGATTCCGACATTGAAATCTCAGATGGTGACTACGACGAAGGAGCAGAGAACGATGCTCAAAAGTATGATAGATGGACCCACCTTGGAACCAGAGCAGAGGTCGATAACTGTGAGACGGCTCTCCAACTTTATGAACTGTTTTTTCTGTAAAGCTGCTTGATATGGTATCCGAGCAGACCAATGTCTACGAACAGCAAAAGCATCACAATTGGACTCCTACACATACATTCTGAGAAGATTCTTCGGCCTCCGTTTACAGATCTCTCGCTGCCCATTTGATAATCAACGGAATTGCTGGTCGTTGAAACTCGGGGTTTCGACGACCAGCAATTCCGCAATTCCGTTATTTCTGATATTCCATCGTAGGAGATATTACGACCAAAAACCGACTTTATGAGAGCCAAAGGCATCTCCACTTGTGAACAACACTGCTGCCGACAGGACGAATAAGCTCTACAAGCTGCAGCCTGTGCTTGATTACTTGTGTAACAGTTTTCAAGTTATGTATAGGCTTGGAAAAAAACGGTACATCGACGAGTCGATGCTGCCATCCAGAGGTCGCGTCTGCAGTACAGTGAAACAAAGCGCCACCGACTTGGATCGAACCCTTCAAGCTCTGCTCTCGTGCCAGCTGTACTCAGAAAGTCAAGGTTTGCGCCGGAAAGGATCCAAAACGGACGATCAGTGGGGCAGGAGCTGTAGTAATGGAGTCCATGGATGGTTTTCTTGTGCAAGGACGTTGCCTTTGCACCGATAACTGATACAGCAGTTTGCCGCTTGCTCACTATCTAGTCAAGAAAGAAGACTGACATTGTCGGAACCCTCCGAAAAAAATCTTAGTGGCATTCCTTAAGTGACCCGAGACGAAAAACTGCAGTGAGGAGAGTTCATTTATCAAGGGAACATGAAAGATAATTTTGAAATGGAAAGGCAAGAAAGACGTCCACATGTTTTCTACGACGCATGGCGCCAGTTTCACCCGAACTGCAAGCCTTCGGTTGTTGTCGATTTTAACATAATGAAGGGATTCATTGACCTCATCGACCAGATAGCTGCCATACTCTATTTGTGAGAAAGACAGCCTAATGGTGTAGACGACTGTTTTACATATCGTAAACCAGAGCGCCTTGGTCAATGAGGAAGCTGGTGACTGATACAAACGCGGAGGCTAAGGACAGGAGGTTCGCTCCGACTGATACCACTCGATCTCTGCAGCTTCAGCCAGGTCGACCGCGAGAAGCCTAGCCAAGAGGATAGAGACAAAATGCAGTAAATGCGATAAATTTTGTTGCTTAGATTGTTTCGAAACAATTCATAATTGTTAATTTTGACAAGAATAATATAATAATATACCAGTCATGAAAATCATTTGATCGGTGCTATTTTAGACACTTATAAGCCTAAATTCGAAATTTGCAAAAAACGGTACGGGCACACTCATTTTGATTGATATTATGTACTGTCGCGCACCATTGAACGACATCGTCGTCAAAGTCCTACTACATATAATTCGATAAATGTGTCTGATAGTTTGTCGCGTATTGCGCGTTGTGCGTGTGTGTGAGCGGAAGCCATGACTCTCCTCCCTTAAAACCAGAGTGTTCATATTTGGAAGCATACAGGTGACAGGATGGAACGCTGATGGCAGGTCGCAGGAACTGATTGAAATCGATATGGAGATTCACAAGACCGGAGGATTTCTTACGTCCTTCGTTTAACAGTGAGACCCTGACACTTCAATGCGTGACGTAGGTGGAAAGGGACCGCTGATGGTTGGTGACAAGGAATGTAACAGAGCCATGAAGGGCGAGCGTCACTAGGTCTGTAACAACCTTCGTTTTAACTCTAGAACGCGGACCTTAATAGGTGATGTAGAATGTTACTGAATCGTGGTTGCTTGGTGACATGGACTGATAATGATAAGAATCAATAGGTGTAAAGCGACCGTAGATACCCGGTGAAACCGGATAACAGTGGAATCTTGGGACTTTGGTGGGTGATGTGTGGTGTGGAATCGTAGATGCTCGATAGATGATGATAGATGATAGAAGCTGATAAGGATTGATAGAGAGGTAAAAAAGGCGAGAGGTGCTGAGCCGGTGGCCCTTATCGGAGTAACAGTGGAAGCTTGACGTCTTGGAAAGTGATGTGGGAATCGTCACGATCATGGACACTTGTTGACAAAAACTAATAACCACTAAAAATTGTTGACAATTGCACCAGATTACATCTTATCGTATGGTACTGATGTATAACCACTTCTGTTTGTCATAAAGGATGGAACTGGGTTGCAGATAGAGGATTACAAGAGGTGATAAATTAGGGCTGATCACAGCCATAACATAACATATAACTTATGCGAAGAAGGAATTTTGATTTAGTCATGGCCATAAGATTAATTGTGCCTCAAGGTTCGCGACTGAGTAACGACTACGTATTATCCTCATTCCGATATCAGTTGTTACGACCATCCGACTATCTATAATGTGAGAATCCCGGCCAATTAATTACATTCACGAGATGAGAAGGGTAAAGGATGCGAACTCCTCAAAGTGTTATTATCAACACTCGAAAGCACGGGTAACTGTTATCCAGGACCTCGGTTGACCAAACAGTTTGCTTAGTAGCAGAAAAATCGGTGCGCCAGTAGATGCAATATAGGAATTCTAATGGACGGGTATTTGCTATTGCTGAGATCGAGGGAACAGATGGAGTTGTTCTATGCGAAAGCGATAAGCGCGTCCTCGTGTACAACTGGTATTCATACAGGCACTCACATTATCCAATTGATCGAAGTAATTCAGCATGTTGAGGTCTTCAGCGGTATCGTCTACCGCCGCGCCCTCGTCAAAGGTTATGTCGGAAAGCAATGTTTTCCGAATCCGAATCCTCGGCTTGTCGTACGAAGATGGAATAGGCAAGGAACTCCACATCTATAATTAATAAAGTAATGAGGGCAAATATGGAAAAAGCATGTACAACATGCAACAAAAGATAGTCAGAAAACTAATAACCTTGATTATCTTTTCAACTCCACAGGAGGAAATAATTCTATTGCTTGGGCTATATCTCACATGATTTACAATGGAACGATGACCTTTGAGGACAAACGTAGCTTCTGAGACTGTGTCGTTGTTGTCTGAAATTGCTTTGAAAATGAAAGGTAAAACTATGAAATTAAGAAAAAAGTAGCCCTGTAGACGCAATATGCTAGTTTTAGGCTTTTTATTTAAAAAAATGACATGAAAGAGAGTGATGGCCTCTTCTAGAAAGAATTCGAGGAAGACGACGATTTTATCAATAAACTTGGCTCTGCAGGGCGGACTAGGGAGAAACATGATCAAGAGTGCGGCGAATGTGCATGCCCCGCAAGCCTTTTGGACCTTGGCCCTTTTGCTTTCGTGGCTTGAATATAACAGCTACTAATCACATGTTTACAAATGGACTTCTCACATGATCAATCTTCATAAAATTTTCCGAATCACAAATTTCTGGAATCAATTTACCCTTCTGCAGATTCTGCCCATCATGAACACCTTACTGATTGGAAGATGATGCTAGCGATATTTGTGATGATTATGATTTTGTGTCACACGAGGTTTCTTAGGTGGAACAGTTTATTCAGTCAAACGGCTTAACCTTTCGACGCAATCGTCGTCTTCAAAGGACTAAACGTAACTGGAGGTGATTTACACGCCATCCAATAAACGTCTTGACCCCTACTGCAAACTGAAGATTTACTCGAAACCCGTGTTTTGTAAGCGACTCACCAAGGTTCCACCGCTCACGCGGAGAAAATCCACTGTCGTCACAGGCGACCGTCAGTAGCGAATGAGATTTATTGCTGTCTCCCTTATTTCTGCAGATTCTGCCCATCATGAACACCTTACTGATTGGAAGATGATGCTAGCGATATTTGTGATGATTATGATTTTGTGTCACACGAGGTTTCTTAGGTGGAACAGTTTATTCAGTCAAACGGCTTAACCTTTCGACGCAATCGTCGTCTTCAAAGGACTAAACGTAACTGGAGGTGATTTACACGCCATCCAATAAACGTCTTGACCCCTACTGCAAACTGAAGATTTACTCGAAACCCGTGTTTTGTAAGCGACTCACCAAGGTTCCACCGCTCACGCGGAGAAAATCCACTGTCGTCACAGGCGACCGTCAGTAGCGAATGAGATTTATTGCTGTCTCCCTTATACTTGTTTTAAAAAAAATCTCGTTATAGTGCTACTGAGTCACAACTAGCAGTGTGGTATACATGGCAAAAGATCATTAGTTATGGACGGACACTCATCTCCACCGTTCATCTTTGGATTTCTTTGGAAAATCCAGAACGCCTTTAATGCTTTTCTTGCCGAAATATCCGTCTCCTACGCTAATATCGTGCACTTAATTTCAAAAGTGTTGTTATTGTGCTCCTCAGTTCTATGACTACCAAGCGGCGCATCAAGCTGCCACGCCTCATGCCTGCTAGATGTTCCTTAGTTCGCACAGCCAGTTGTCTTCCCGATTCTAAGAGGTACGTTGATTCACATGCCCGGCACTCTGTCTTCTAAGTTACGCCTATCAGTGCGCGATCACCTGCTTTCCCGTACGGACACATGGTACAATCATTGGTTATGCACCGCTTATCGTAGAGCCGGTTTCGAACTAACAACCGCTTGATGTTGTTATTAGGAATGTTCACTAATTGGCAACATCTTGCAGTCCAGCTCTGGAAATGCTTCGCTGTATTTCGGTGCTGACTTTATTAGAGATAAAAGGAAGACACAATGGTAATTTACTACGGCGCGTAGCGTTTTTCGTGCTGACATGACATTTTCCGCGACTTTGTGACACCGTACAACCGTTCAAAGCAGCTATGTGACGAGCTAAACGACGCGATTCGTGATGTACAGCTTCGCCCGTGCAGATGCTTGTTGCTGTCCTCAACATGTTGCGAACGACTGCACGTTTGACGGCTTGTGGATGAGCTGATGTAGCGTGAGGTGAGATGATCTTGGAACTAATTTTACGGTACCACTTCACGCTAACAACACCACTGGACACGTCTTGGGTGTTGAGATAAGGAAGAAATAGTTATGTGGTAGTTCTCGAGTAAGTTGAATGTACTGTGACTGCCCATTCATGGTTCGAAAACACTCGCCTATTTCGAACTGAGTTGACGTTACGATGAAGCAGTCATCACTATACCTACAGTACATCAAAGGATGTCGTTCTAGAACAGGCTCTTCAATTCTTCCCATAAAGCATACAGCAAACCGCTGTCCCCCAGCAAGGCCTCCGACTTGAGAGAAGTACTTTCCTGCCCATTTGAAGATGTTGCAGCACAAGCATTCCTTGACCAACGTCATTATATGCATTTTGTTAAGTCCAAAGGTGTTAATATTATCAGCCTGCCTATCAAGCATTTCAGATAGTGCTTGTAGTGCCTGCTCGTTTTGGACATTAGTGTAGAGCGAAACTACATCAAATGACTCAACTACTTTACTCCCACCGGGTGAAAATGTAGTTGGGGGGGGGGCACCTATCACAATGTCGGTCTATCAAGAAATGAACTCAATGAAACGCGTTAAGTCGTGTTATATCACGGACATGCCAGCTCTCAAATGAGGGTTTTCGTAGGGAAGGAGCACCGCGGTGGGCAAACTGTCTTTCTTTTTTTTTTCGCAGGAGGTAATCATCCTAGCCACCCAGGTGCTCCTACCCTACCTAGGCTTGTAAACTAAATTTCCTTAGCGGAAACCGCATAGGAGAGCTAAGCTGGCCGATTCCCATCATCCTCTACGCATCTAATATAGTGCTGATACAACAAGGGCTAACACGTTAGACTGAGTTCATTTCTTGATATACTAAGCTCCGGATGGGTGCCCCCCCCCCAACTACATTTTCACCCTCCCACCGAGGTCTGAGCTATGTAGTAGCTCAAGGAATGCTGAGTATTGGACATGTGAGAAGGAACCACGGTCACCAGCTGGCTTACAATATTACTGGGAACCACGAGATCCTGTCAGCTGGTCCCCCTACACAACTAATAACAGGCCGAATCCTGAAAGTATCCGGTGGTGTTGACAGCGTTTCGTGCGAGGAGAGTTTATGTGTCTCAATGGGGCCTTAGAAAACTGGACAGCTGGGGCTATCCGGTTTGAGTCTACTGACCAGCCTTTCACCAATGCCGGAAGATTTAGCGACACTCAAACAAATATGATTGAGGCGACTACATTGTTATGAAAAGTCCTTTTCAGTCGCGTGACAGTAAACAGAGTAGTCGCTGAGGTAGAGTTCGGCAAAGGCTTGGTCAAGTGTTTGAGACATAACAACAAACTCGCCAACCTTATCGCTGACTGATATGCGTAAGGTACCATTAGATCTGAACGCGCGCAATACTCTCAACCCTTGCCTTTGCTTACACGTTGGGTCTGCCTTGAAAACAATTTGTGAATCTCCATGGCTTTTCGAATATCGCCTCATTGCTCCTCACCACATAATCCTTGAACTTTTATTCTAACGTCAGACACATTCTTCAGACATTCCTTCTATTTCTGAGGCATCTTTAGGAACTAATAATGTGCTTCATAGTGGGTCATTCACATTTGACGGCAGCGTCACGCTCTGAATCAGAGTTTCCGCATGTTCCAGGGAAACTCGCTGTCTCAGATATCTCCATCAACGATTGCCATCCATGAGCTCGCGAAGTCAGCTTGCTAATTTTTGTAGGGAAATGCTCATATGGAGCATGTTCTGTCTATCGCAGCCGTACTTCACAACCACTTCCTTAGCTTTACTTTTTCTGCCTTCTCGGTTGAACACGCACTATTTCAAACTTTATGGTGAATGACACTAGCTTGATTGATTTAGCCCGGATTATATTCACTTTATTTATATTTCAACATTTATTTGAATATATTAGGTTTAATTACCCAAGTTTGAGCTGTAGGACAAGAGGGCTACCAATCCTAATGGACTGCTGCAAAAGAATCCAGCAAAAACTTTGAAAATGGTATGATTTGGACCCAAGATGGGCGTGCGAGGATGCCCCGACTCTGCACAACAAGCCCACACCTCGGCGTAAGGCAGAGGCGGAATAAGGACTACGGACGCATCATAATACACATCGCTTCCCACAACTTCAGGACATTATCGACGGACTCTTTCCTAGACATATACCTGCATCAGTTGGAGAAGATCAAAGCCGACATGGTCGGTGTTTGCGAAACTAGGAGAGCACGCGCAGTCTCAGGGAAGTGGTCAAGCGGTGAAGAAATTTTGCTGGGAGGAGTAGCTGATAATGTGCCCACAACAAGTGGAGCCGGTTTCATCGTAAAAGCGAAGATGGCCCGTATGTTATTTCTTGCGATATTCAGTCCCCACGAGTTGCGGTTCTGAAGATTAAGTTACAAAAGCTGGGAAACCGAATTCAAAGCTCAAATCGACGTACACTATTGTTCAAGGCGATTTCAACGCCGTAGTCGGCTGCAGATTGGACGGTACGGAAGGCCTTCTAGGATGGTACGGCGCAGGGGTAAGAAACGACAGAGAAAATCGTCTAATCGAGTTTGCACAACAACCAATTTCTCGAAAATGAACACATTCTTCGAGAAAAAAGCCAAGGACATGGAGGAGCTCGGACACGAAAACTTTAAGACAGATTGATTATGTGCTTACCGGTACACCAAGATTGTTCGCTGACGTCTCCATTATTGGGGTAAGTGTGACTGCGACCGGCTCCGATTACCGACTTCTACTCTCGGTGATCCTCCGATGTCAGAAAAGAAAATCGAGTTTTACATTCGCAAAAAAACGCTCATACGACGCACTTTCAATGCCGACATGTATGCAACGATGATTGCGTCGTCAGTCCTACAGATGAATACTGGTAATAGCATCGATGCCTACTATGAAAATCTAGTGGAGACAATAACGCAGGCCATGAAAGATCGAGTACAGCAACAGAACCAGCAAGGCGACGGCGTATATCGCCAGAAGCAGTGCAAATGATGAAGAAGAGAGCGTGCATGAAAGCCGAAGGATGATTACAAACCGCGGATTACAGGGAGCTCTGTGAAGCGATAAGGAAAAAGATAAAATGCGACTATGAAGGCTACAGACAGAAGAAACTCCGCGAAGCAGCTGAGAGAAGGGTTAGTCTAAAAGCCGTAGCAAGGGATATTTGCCTTAGGCATCACATACCATCTGCTCTCAAGGACAATACAGGTGTCAGGACAACTAACCGCCTTCGGATGAACGAAATATGTACTAAGTTCTTTGACGACTTGTACTCCTCAAAGGCGGTCGTCACAAGAGCCGGTCAAACCATTGCAGGAGAGCCGATCCCAGAGTCATGCGAGAAGAAGTGGACTATTCAGTAAAACAAGCTAAGGCGGGGAAAAGCCCGGGCTGCGACAACATATGTCCTGAACACCTGGAAGCAGGTGAATTACCTCTCTTTGAAGCGCTGGCGCAGCGCTCTAGCAGATACTGCAGTGAGAAGAGGATTCCGGCGGCACGGAAGAAATCACGGACGATACTGCTAATGAAAAGGCGATCCCGAGAGTTTGGACAATTACAGACCCATCACATTGCTGTCCCAAGTTAATAAGGCCTTTACCAGAATAATCCTGAATCGCATAGTTGGAGACCTGGACATGGCCATAGGCCGAGAGCAAGCGGGATTTCGAGAAGAGTATTCTACACTTGACCATCTCCACGTCGTACGCCAGCTTACCGAAAATGTGGAGAGTATCGGATTCCTTTATGTATGGCGTTTGTCGACTACAGAAAAGCATTCGACTCGGTCGAAACGAACGCGATACTAAATGCGATGAGCAGATACGGTATTAATTCGTGCTATGTCGACCTTCTCGAAGAACTGAACAGTGGCTGTACCACAGAAATAAAGCTCTTCAACGATCCATGTCAATTAAAAATATGCAAGGGCGTACGAAAAAGAGATACGATTTCTCCAAAATTGTTTGCACTAACATTGGAAGCCCTGTTCAATGATCTTGACTGGACCGGAGGCATGGAGACGATGGAGAGCACCTGACCTATCTGCTCTCTGCTGACGATTGCGTCATTTTTGCGCATGATGCCCTAGAGCTCCAAGAGAAACTTGTGCAGCTACAGATGAAATCGAGCGAAATCGAACTTGAAATGAATTTGTCAAAAACGAAATGGATGCACGACCAGTTCAGTCCTACAGCGACTGTCGAAATAAATGGCGAAACTATCGAGGAAGCAAAAAGCTTCAAGTACCTCGGACACCAGCTCAGCTTCTTAGAAGGTAGCACCGGAGAGTACAGCAGGCGCAGGAAAGCAGCTTGGTCTGGCTTCAACAAAATCTCAACGTTATTGTTAGACGAAGACCTCCCGATGAGAGCGAAATGTTACACTCGACGGTGATATCCGCGATGTTGTACGGCGCAGAACGCTGGTCGTCCACGAAGGGAGACGAATCGAAATTTGCAGTGATGCAAAGATCAATGGAACGCAGAATCTGCAAAGTGTCACTTCGTGAACATATCACAAACACAGATTTGCGAACACGAAGTGGCCTTGTTGATGTTGTCCAGGAAATGTATAGGAGAGGCGGCATGCACAAGGTGCGCAAATTGCGAATAATATGCTTGCCTAATACTTCTTTGGGTTATATCATCAATGCTCATTTTTCTCATGCACATCTGTTCCTAGCGGCTTCTCTCGTATGTGTTTCGATGTTAAGAATAGGAGAGGATCATAGCACTTAAAAAAGGAACCATTTCTTTACTAAGTGCATGAGCTTAAATGTAGCCGAAAAAANAAAAAAGGCGCGTTTAAGCGGAAGACTGTCAGAGAATGTGATAAAGACTACTATAGGAAAAGGAGAGTGCTGTGCAAAAAGTTGGCAATAACAGGGACCAAAGCCGCACTATGGAAGAGGGAGTGCACTGCCACTGCGCCACGGCGACAGCTACTGCTCGAGCGTCAATTCGCATTCTAAACTGGCACTATCACCAAGTTTTGAGCAGATAGACTTAGATCGCTCATATTGTTTGGGGAGCTCATTAAGCAACTCTAGTTTTGTGTTCGTAATGACATTCCAAACTTCACCGATATATCTAATTGTAAGTTTCCATTCGAAATTCATGATAAGCTCAATTTGCTGCTTAGTTCACACCAAGCAAGTTCACTTGATTGTGAAGATCTATACAGAGACTTACTCGATTTTCAATCTTGAGAAATCTGAGACGGCATTTATATACAATCCCAACAGACCTTTCCCTTGGCCAGAACCTGGTAAGCGCCATGCATATATGTTAAAGTCGTCGCTGCCTGTCATCACCATTCCATCATCCATGAATGTAACAGACTTGATCGTGTGAACATTGCTATACTCCGGATCTTTCAGTTCAACGCGACGATGTTCAGTTAGCTGAAGCAGGATTTCATCAGTTAACATGAAAGGTTCGCTCAGCGCTCAGACGATGTTGCAGAGAACAATTTTTATTGAATCGTTAAATGAAAAGTGGGTAGCAGAACAGCGAAAAAAAGTAATGAACGATATTTCAAATCTGACAGTCATCCTCACACGACATAAAGCCAGTGAACAGGCTAAAGCCAGTATGAAGTCGGCGACGTAACGAATAACCAACTTTCACCATTACTAAGCTGCATATCAATTTTCGGAAATCAGGCGGACACACAGTGCGCGGCGCCTAGCATGTTGAGAATTTGTGGGACTGATGAGGGACCTGGCTCAAAAACTTCTCTGTGAAGCAATTTTTAAACAAAAAAAACATGATGAGCGCTATAGTTTTCATTAAAATATAGTAGTATACATTATGATCATTGAAATGATCCTTTTTCCGCGCTCTGCTCATTTTGTTTTATAGCGTTGCTCATCCAAATCATTTTCTTAGTTTGTTAATGAAAACAGTCGAACATGTGAGCACGAATAATCACTGCAGCCGATGTGAGGCGTTAAAGCAGCAAGTGAAACTATCGGCTTACAGAGAATGACATGAATGCCAGTCTCTGAAACAGACCCCCTCCCTTCGCCATTAGCTACGTGCAACTCTCGCTCGCCTAAAGAAAATCGGGAACAGTCTCGCAAGGGAAGATCTACTGCCGTCTTACGATCCCAAAGGAATTCGCTTCGAATTGAGTAAAATACCTCTATTCGGAAAGTAGGTTGGTGGTCGAAAAGTCAGTGGCCGGAATTTTCCGCCGCTCAAAAAGGGTTTTATCAATGTGAAATGATTCCTTTTACTGGGTCTAGTAAAATGGGGGGGGGGGGCTGGACGAGTTTCAGGCAAACAAAATGGTTTGAAAGGAGTGTTTGGGCGAGTTGACACTCTGCTCCGCGTCTCTAACACCAGACGCAGAGCGCAGAGATGGTTTGATGCCCACCTTTTGGCACGAGATAATCATTTCACTCAACCCCGGACCTCCTCCCAAGCGCGGTCTCTATGCACTCTGCGGTCTGGTGTCAGAGACGCGGAACACGAAACGACGATGAGACAGTCCTCGTCTGACGTGACATCGGTCGAGGGGCGGGGAATTCGGCCGATCCGGTAGCGGGGCTCCCACTACGCTCCAGCTGTTGAGTTTTTTGACCCGACAGAGTATTTTCCTGTGAGCCACAGGGTGTTCCTTAAGGGAGAACTTGGACAACATTTTTATCGTTAACTGTGCCTTTAACAAGTACGATAACACACTCTCTAGCGCAGAAACCCTTCCGTAGTCATTTCCATAACACTTCAATCCCATGACCGGTCCTTCCTTCATAAAAAGAAATGAAATGTATCAGAATGTGCTACAATCATACCTTAAATGTCATCACGAGGGACCTGTGAAACCATTTCAGAGAGTTACTTTCTCTGAAATGGCTACACAGGTTGATTTCGATGGTAGCAATCCCGACGTGCGAACATGCCGAGAAGCTTCACAACTTTTCGGGGTCATCATGGAATAAGGTTTCCAAAAAGACTATTTAAAATGTATATTTCCATTCAGCAAACAGGATTTTTGGAACCGCCAGTGAGCATCACCTCTGTAGTATAGGAGGAGCGGCCGAGATGGAGTGGCCGTTGCCCGTCTTCTTTCAATGATTTATTTGCAGCGGAAAGACCCGACTTAACAGGTTCACGTGTGTCAAGGGAAAAACGCGACTTTACAAGTTTGCTCGTGTTCGCGAACCATTGGACGGTATAGGAGGGCTGGTAGGGGATGCCACAAGCCAGTTCTTTTTTATGCTCACTCTTGAACATCCTCGATATAGCGGAAACCTCTAATCAAGAGGTTCTTTTGTGGTTATTCATACTTTGTCGTGCTATTTGTCTAGTTTTATATTTTGAATATTCTGATCTCTTCGTCGAAGTCTCTTCACCTTATTACGTTGTTATGCAATTTGTTATTTGTATCTCAGGTAACTACCGGTTTTTCCGTGCCTTGAAATAATGGTCTTATTGTTCTTGATGCTGTGTTTCAGATAAAGGTTTAATTACCCAAGTTTGAGACGACACGGGGCCCGCATGGCAAGTGTATTCAGGGAGTGGAAAGGGAAAGCCTCTCGGTTCAGGATGAACCTTCGTTTCATTATTATTCCAGTTACTATTCTAATCATTATTATCACTTTTACTACTTTATTACGATTGAGCGGAGGTGGTAAATGGCAAGTGGCGCACTTCACACACGCATGGTTCGAGTCCCACATCGATATCCGCCCGGGGCAACCAAGCCTTTCGTCCCTCCGGGGTCGGTGAATTGGTACCAGACACGTCTGAGAGGATAAAAGCCCTGACTTGTACACCGGCTGGCCACCGCCATTGTATTGCCACATTACAATTCAACACGCCACTACGATTGTGAATGGAAGTCTAATGCGCGGCGCAGCGGGGCTGATCAACGCCCAAAGACTTCATTCTTTTTCCTTTATTACTACTAATATAATTATTTTAATATTAGGTTATTCTTAAAGTGTCGAGGGTTCCATCCCGCATAAACGAAGAACCCTAAGGAGCTTATGGCTTTTGCCATTCACATAAGAAATTGATGAGTTTTTTCCACTTTTCGTCATCAGTTACCTGCGATTCACTTTCCCCTGAGTAACATACAGAAGAAGCAAGGCTCAACGAATTACGTAAGAACGAAACGACTCAACATTCAGCGCCCACTCTCATATCTAATCGATTGTCGCCAATTTTTGTCACCAACAGTCTTCAATCCCACCACGCTTACGACTCAGTGACTGGTTGCTTTCATAGTCCGCCGGCGTGCGTGCCGGCGGGCAGGCGTGCCAGCCGAGGCAGTGCTAGGGGGAGGAGGGAGGCAGACGGTCGGTCGACGCGGTCGCGCCGCGCCCAAGCCCCTTCGAAAGGATGTAAATAAGGCAAGATCAAAAACCATTTGCACAAGCACCTGTTTGCTTGGTTTTGATCTTGTTCTCCTTTGTTTTCAGTCCTTCGACTATGAACGGACTACGGAAGCAGCCAGTTGTTATGGTCCCCCTCACTGGCTACAGTGGGGAGGCGGTCGTTTGACTCGGCCCCTCGCATCGCGGCGCTCATTCGACGCGGTTTCTGAGCTGGGCAACTCGTCCAGGCGATTCACCCCGACCATGCTATTCGACCGACCCATTGCCCATCCAGCTGATATACGACCGATCGATGACGCCATTACTATCAGACGCCGAACTGCGGTCCTACTTGTATTCTATTTGCATCGATTAACATGGTAAGGAGGTTGAATCATCCAGAGAGTTGTCCAGCTCACGAGCCGCTTCAAGTGAGGGCGCAATGAGAGCGGCCGCGCCAAACGACACACACCTACAATGTTCGAAACCCAGCCCTGCATACATACACTCACACATGCACTTACGCAAACACACTCAGTGAATAAAATTTAGAAGGACAGCTAGTGCGAGGTTAGGATTCAGAATATTAAAAAAATCGAAAATAATTGACATACGTCTATAAAGATCGGATTGGAGTGGGATTGCAAGGCTGTTAGAGCAGTACCGATCGAATTCCATTCGACATAGATCGCTTCACTTACAAGTGATCTCAAGTCAAGTAGAGGTCTTAAAAAGTGAGGAAGAATCACATGAAAAACCCAGACTATACATCTACATATGCACATGCAGAAGAAAAACACACTCACTTTTTACGATTCCGAAGGTCATAAAGACGCACACCGCGGTTGGATGCTGTAGCAAAGTAGAGTGCATTAGCAGGATTGTACTGGCCACGAAAAAGTTGACCTGAAAGTTAGCCGCTTTTCGTCAAATTGAGGGTATTCAAAGCCGAGACTACACCTTCATCGATGAGGCAGAAAGAGCCTTCCTTGGTTTCTCTGCGATCGTAGAAAGACACAACTCCTCCTTCACGGGAAGCAGCCACGATATTGATATCGATAGGCTGAAAATAGCTTTGTACACTTGTGAAAAAACTAAGTCAAGTCGTAGACCTCTCCAGGAATTTTCACATTTTTCTAAGGGGTCACTGAACTGATCTTGAACATACATCCAGACGATTCCCGAGAGAACTGATCAAGTTCTCCACCCAGCTATGGTCAAAATCAAAACAGACTTCTGAAAAAAAAAACTCAGGCTGCAGGCCGTGAAAAGTGATAGTAACTTGTAGGAAATGATATCGTACGAGAGCACTGATAAGAAGCTTTAGAAGGCAGGAGCAACGGGTCCCATTACATCCTTTGTGTTACAGTTGCAAACTGACCCTTCTGTAGGAGACGTATGGTGTAAAGGGGATGCTTAGGGTGCTGACAGGGACTTACGACTTATGTGTTTACAGGGACTGATAACAACTGGTCGGGGGTGATGGGCCCATAGAAAGTGAAATCCTTCGATTTTGTTACACGCTCCCTGTCGACAGGGGAACTTGACATCATGGCAGGTGATATGGAATGTGACAGGATCATGGATGCCTGGCTATTAAAATTGAAAACTGACAGTGGCTACAGGGAGACACAGAAGTTGAGAATCGTTAGATCCGCTACGCTCTTCGGATTGGTGGTGAAAACCTGCATCTTTGTAGGCGTTGTGAAGCATTAAGGGATGTTAGACGGCTGGTGACAAGGCAGCAAGTGATCAGGGGTGATAAAGAGCCGGGTAAGGCAAGGCCCCCAAGGCCTGTAACTTCGTTCGTGTTTAGAACGGAACCTTAGCGGTTGCTCTCCATTGCTCACGTCCGTCGAAACTAGGTCACGCCGCAACCGTCGCACACGGCGCGTCAACCCGCGATTCTTGACGGACGTCGCACTTGTCGATGATGCATACGAGAAGAGTCCAGTCCACTTAAAAAGAACTTTACGGTACTGCTATGCCATCACGGGATCGCAGTGGGCTGTGCCGGGCGCGAATTGGGAGGGGTGACCTAGTTTCGACGGACGCGCGAACGTACGTTAAATGGTTCAATTAGTCCTACATCAACCCATTGCGCACCTTAGTGTTTTTGTGCTGGTTGGTGCGCATCCCTGGCTTTTTCTTCATGATCGCGTGACTCTCAGCATGCAGCACGCAGCTACACGTAGCGATTGTTTGGGCGAATCGTAAAGCATGTGCTGTCCGAAGTTTATTCAAACTCTGGAGTGATTTTGGATCAAAACGTGGGCACGCAGAGATCGCAGATCATGCTGTACCATGTGCAGCACGCGGTATGCTATGGTTTATCAATAAAAACCTTCTAATTGGGCATAGAAATCAAAGCAAAATGTTTTAATCGATCCCGTTTAGTGATGCGCTCCCAAATTCGCTTTCATTTGAATAGTATTGAATGCGTACTAGGCCGATATAATGACTTGCAATGGTTAGGCGACGAGATATCAGTTCTTTTCCTCCTAACGAGTCCGGTACCAATCAACAGACCCCAGAGGAATGTAAGGCTCGGCTGGCCTAAGCGTATATCGATCCTTGATTGGATCCCTAAACTAAGCGTGCGCGATAGTGCGCCACCTACCATTACACCATTACTACCACTAGCTGCTACCGTACCCACCCCGCCTCCCGAAAATCGATAGGACGCGATATTTTCCTTGACCGGCTTGCTATTTCATTTGATTTTATCGTTTTTTCTTCTGTTTCTTTTTAGTTTTCATGTTTATTAGACTTGTTTGATTAAAATGACTCCTCTTATATATAATCGACGATCAATACCGCATTGAAATTGAAGGGAGCGACCAGCCAATTCAAATGATTAAAGGACTTCCTACCTCACAAATTGCGCGCTCCAATCTTTCATCGCAATCCTGCGATAGGCGGCGGGTGCGGCGTGTGCGACGCCGTGTTAGGGGAGAAGTTCCCGGACCCGGGTGAGTAGCATACACTGAGAGTATTGGGTGACAAGAAAAATGAATAGAAAGTTCGAGCTCCCACATTCCCCGTCCAGTCCCTGAATTCATCGTTCCACCAGGAAAGAAAAATTCGGTGAAAAGGATACTTATCGAAATATTACTCAGCAAAACTTAGCTTGGATTACCTAACCGAAAATAAGCAGCTTACGTTAGCAGATATGCTATACACAGGATGCCGTTCCTCGTAAACACTCAATGGCCTGCGTGTGGTAACATCATGACGCAGTACTACACCATCATTGCCACCAGAAAATAGCTCAGCACCACTTAACATTAAATTAAATAGCCAACGCATATACAGAATCATACAAAGTACGATAGCAAATCAAAAGTCAAACTCGAGGGAAAATTGGTAGCAGAAAATGTTTGAATTATGTCCTCGTTCCATGATAACAGCAGGTTTCGGTGCTTCTTCCAACATAAGATCTGAGACATACCAAACGAAGACACGCATGTCATCACCGCCTACAAAAAATTCGTTGCTTTTCTGCAGCTACTCATTTGAAAAAAGGCGTGTGCTCAAGCTACTGATACACCCACCACTAGCTAACATATCCTCGGTTTTGTTGAATTCGACAGCATTCACACATCCAGTATGCCCAAGAACGTCCTTTTGGTGCACTACACCTGATTTTCTCGCGCCGATGCGGAAGACATCGTTCTAAATTTGGATATTGGTCAAGATTTCATCCACTTACCACCGATATTCACGAAGTCTCAGCAGCGATCGCTAATATTCATGGGAAGTTGGAATACAGCTAACTCAAAACATCCATCTCCTCAGTTGAAACATTACCCTGCTATAAGCTAAGTTCCACACGTGAACAAGACCTCTCTCCACCAGCTGGAAGTGTTAGTTCCAACTAACACTAACAAACTTAAATTTACAATTCCTAAATTTACAACTAACATCTCCGAATTTTGAGGAAAGCAAGGTTCAAGCTTGACTTGCTCAATGCTGGCGTCTCTAACCTTCAAACAAGACCGAGCTTTATCAAAACATCGTAGAAATAATTTATCGTAGCAGCTATTACACTGCTAGTTTCCAATTCCGTAAGAAAAATCGAGCTATACGATTTTTCAAAAAAATCGTGGAGCTTTTCCTTAAAAGTTTCGCAGCTCCAGCTATTTCATTTTACCCGAGCCTTGCTATCCTAGACTTTCTAATTTGGACGGTACTCTTAGGAAGGACAACTCAAACATTATACGAAAGAAATGCAGCATCTTCTGTGCTGACCAATGTCAGCACAGGAAATGCTGCACTCGCTGAAAACTATACTACACTATAGACACTAATTGGTAAGGAGAGAAATTCTGAGGAGCCGGAAGATAGGTCGTAAAATAGGACGCGCCGCATGGAAAGTATTCATGAATACGGTATAAAGGCTCGAGTGGGATGCATATTCCGGTAATCAAAACAGCATTTAGAATTGCCTTGTCCAGGTCTGCTGAGGCCAAGGACAAAAGACAACATCGTTTTAGAGAAGATCTGGTTAGGTTTTTGAACCCTAAGGTCTCCTTCTACAAAGTTTCGCACAGAGGAATCGCACCGATTGAGGTCCTGCTTTAACGATCATTGTTCACTCCGCGATTAGTAAAACTTCTTTCCAAATGAGCAGTTTTCAAGGGGGACCACTTCCATTGGATATGATATAAATACTCATGCAAAAAGCTGGAATAGGGTAGGAATTGAACATTCATTTGACTCAGCCACCGATGTGTCCCTTATCTGGTATCTTATATCGCTCCTTAAGTGTTAGGTGGAATAAACATTTATTTTCTCTGCTAAGAAGTGCCTCACAGCACCAATATGGGTAACCGAAATTGGTTATCGCCCTTTCTCTGCACTTCTGCGCTCAATGTTGGGTGAGAGCCCTCCCTCCTCCTTGCTTAAGCTGCATTTACACCGTGTTTAGAGTGGAAGAGACGGAACAACCCTAACAAAATAAATTGTTTAACCCACATGAAGATCACCAATATGTCCACTAATAGCACCGAGTTGCAAGTCTTCCACGAAACGGCCAATATTCCATCGTCCATGGTTGGATAAAACTGGTGCTGCCTCACTTTTTTCAGTTTGTATTTCACCACCAATGTCTACTGCAGCCGCCATAAATTGTCGATAGCCAGCGAATTCGACAGCACCTTAAAAACCGGAAAATCGGCTTTCTAAAAGGTAATCAAGGTGGGAGCAACATAATGGCAATGCAGCAAAATAGAGGTGAAGTAGCTAACAACCGCTTACTGGACAAGCTTCAGCTGAATAAAAACGATGTTCACCCCTCAATATCTATCCCGGTAAGAGGAAAACTTCGATTGCATTTAATGGAGATCCTTCGTGTCCTTCAGTGCAGATGGTGCATTCTCGTACAAAGCACATGCGGGTGTATGTTGTTTGGCGCGGCAGTTCGCAGTGACTTTGCCATTCGAGCGCATGGGTTTCAATCGCCAACATGCAGCTTATACAACGCAGTTTTGTGTCGGGCAACTCGTCCAAATCCAACCTGTTGGTTAGTTCTGACTTCCTTAGAGGCGCGAAGCGACTCTGATAGGGTGTCACGATTCAGAGGTTATTCACTTTTCCACAAATTCTCAACAGTCGAGTAAGTTAAAGAAATCGAAAAGATCACACGGATAACATAATAGGATGTGTCCAGTAAATGAGTCATCTGAACTAAGTAGGCTATTAAACTATTGATTTGTTTTGGAAGGTTATTGCCGTATTTATTCTTGAAATCACGTGTGCCATACTGTATGCTACAAAGCTGAGCCATTGCCGGGCAAAATGGGTCGTGGATCCCCGCTTTCCTTGTTCACTTTGCGGCACGCGGTAAATCCTTTCTAGTTGTCACGCGGCTTCAAATGCAATTACAGTACTGAGCTTGCCTCCCCGCGGGTAACGGAACTTTCCCCCGATTGTCACTGGAATTCTCCCTTGCGGCATGCGGCAAATGTCACTGCAATTACCGTACCCACCCCACCTCCCTGCCATTCGATATGAAGCAATGTTTTCCATCGATTGCCCTCCTTTTTTTATTAGATTTGAACGTTTTTTTTCTGTTTCTTTTTCGTTTTTATGTTTATTAGACTTAATTATTAGAATGACTCCTGTATTAGCGACGATCAAGACCGCATTGGAATTGAAGAGAACGGCCAGCCAATTCAAATAATTAAAGGATTCCCTACCTCATGAATTG